GTGTGTGTGTGTGTGTGTGTGTGTGTGTGTGTGTGTGTGTGTGTGTGTGTGTGAGAATGATACAGATAATGATGCATGTTTTCTGTTTAAAGAAATTGTTGTTGGCACGGTGTTGTTCCTCAGAATTCTCACACACACACACACCCACACAGACAGGCTGAAACAAACACCCAGTTTTCAGCGTCATATTAACGAGAAATCCGGCATAGAAGTAGCGGAGACGTCGGCGCAAACGCCGGACTCAAACTCCCAGAATGCAATGCAGCTAGCGAGCGATGTGCGAGATGGCGAGTTCGGTGTCAGTGCGAGAGCTGGCGCTTTGGAAGCTGATGTGTTTGAGCAGAGTGTACAGACGAGGAGGAGAGAGAGCTGGACAGAGTGAAAGCACAGAGTAGAGCACTAAAGCGCCGCCGCATCATCATCATCATCATCATCATCATCATCATCACTCTCTTTAGGTAGAGCTGAAGTGAGGGATAAATCCCACTGATGCCTCTATCAGAACGGCATTGTGGGTAACGTAGGAAACTGTTAGCCAAGGAGAAAATACACCGACGTGTCCATTTCGTCACAAAATCGATCTCGGACGCCGTTAAAGCGTTGAATTATGAAGAAACTCTTTAAGTTTCAAAATTTCAGCTGGACTCCAGCAGCAAAGTTCACACACAAGCACCAAGCTGATAATTTACTATTTCCAAAACACACACGAATGCAGGCAGGCATGCAGTATGTGTCACTTGCTGTGCGTGTGTGCGTGTGTGCGTGTGTGCGTGTGTGTGTGTGTGTGTGTGTGTGTGTGTGTGTTAGCATTCTCACAGAACCACGACAGTTATTCATCACTTCATTTCCCAGGCAAATGTCCACTCCAGGTCTCGGCAGCAGGGAGAATTTGGTTGCGGACCTCGGCAGCTCGCCAGAATATTTTACTGTGCGGATACTGTTTCACTAACTGCTCGTAAAAATGCCACGATTTTTAAATAATTTCCTCTTTTAAATCGAAAGACAGAGACAGCGACGCATCCCTGAAGACCTGCAGCTGTCATTTCAGACAAAGTAGAGAGAGTTCTAACAACAATAGCCTGTTCTTTAATTTAAATAATGTTTGTGTTGCAGTAGAAAATATTTTGCACCTTCAAATGTGAAATCCAGAGGTTCTGAATCTCTCGCTATCGGACGGTACGATGTGTAGTACACGGTACGAAAACGATTAAACAGGTAAATTTCTGATAAGTCAATTGATACGCTTTGATTCAGCACCAATAGGATTTGATTCAGCACTGATTTGATTTGATTCAGCACCGATTCGGTACCAATAAGATTTGATTCAGTACCAATAAGATTTGATTCAGTACCGATAAGATTTGATTCAGCACCGATTCGGTACCAATAAGATTTGATTCAGTACCGATAAGATTTGATTCAGCAATGATTTGATTTGATTCAGTACCTATAAGGTTTGATTCAGCACCGATTCGGTACCAATAAGATTTGATTCAGCAATGATTTGATTTGATTCAGTACCTATAAGGTTTGATTCAGTACCGATAAGATTTGATTCAGCACCGATTCGGTACCAATAAGATTTGATTCAGTACCGATAAGATTTGATTCAGCAATGATTTGATTTGATTCAGTACCTATAAGGTTTGATTCAGCACTGATTTGATTTGATTTGATTCAGTTCCCTGGTGGACTAGCGGCTAGCATGCGGTGCTCTCATCATCACAGTCCGGGTTCGAATCCCAGTCAGGGAGCCGACCCGAGCCACTGGAGGTTTGCACGAGCCGGTGCACTCTCCGTGCCGGTCCCAAGCCCGGAACCGGGAGGGTTGCGTCAGTAAAGGAATCCGGTGTAAAACTTGTGCTAGAATCAAAATATGCGGACGGGTGATCCAGTGATCCGCTGCGGTGACAGGAGCAGCCGAAAGAGGGGGGGAAAAAAACCTGATGTGATTCAGCACTGATTTAACAAGTAACATTTTTCAAATAAATTCTTAATCTCTTTTACAATCTCAAAGATTAAGCACAAAATTTTAACATCCCAGTGTCACCTTTTTTTTTTTTTTTTTTTTTTTTTTTTTTTTTTTTTTTTTTTTTTTTTTTTTTTTTTTTTTTTTTTTTTTTTTTTTTTTTTTTCTATTTAATAAAAACGTATCGCGATTGCTTTTTAGATGTGTAGCTAAAAGAATTTGGATATTTTGTCGTTTATTTTAGCGCATGTTGAATGTAAAATGGTGCAAGTGACTCGAGTGCCTGTGACAAAATGTACTTTCGGTTTGTGCTGGATTACGAGTCAGAACAGGTAGAGAATACATGAGAGAATGAGGAAGTGGACGAGTGGAGAGAACGGGGGATTGGGGGAAATGGGAGAGATTTCAGCAGAGAGCACTAGCGAGAATCTGATATCTCGACAAACAAAACGGCTCGGCGTGTTAATTATAGGCTTAAATGGCTTATTTTCGGTCATGAATTTTGTGTAAGTAGGTTAGGTCAGGTCTTTATCAGTGCCGAGAGACTGTCTAGTGTGAGGAATGTAGTCTGATATGAAGTGTTTGTAGAGCAGAATGAACAGAGGGTTAGGGATAGAAGACTAGAGCACACGGCGATGGAAGCTGTCCTTGGAGAAGGTCCTGCTCCATGTTGACGTGAATACCTCACAGGGGTTCTGTAGATATTTCAGCTGAGTGTTTGTGCTGCGAGTCTCCTGTTGTGCCACGCCCCAGCGGCGCTCTGGGGAAGCCACCGAAGCCTCCTGAGCTCACGGGACCGGTTTGAGACGACGTTATGACGTTATCGTGCTGAAAGTATAACTGGGTTATACGTTATAACGGCGTAAATTCAAACCATATTGGAGTTTCAGTGTGTGAGACCAGAAAACATTCCCCACACCATTACACCACCACCACCACCACCACCACTGTTCACACTAGACAGGTTGCTCTGTTCCAGACCAGGCGACGGTTATTTCTGCAGCTTCGGCGCCCGCTCTAACCTCGTCCTGTTCTTGACTGACAGCTTTTGCTGTTGTAGATTCCATGTATTGTGCGTTCTGAGATGCTTTTCTGCTCACCACAGTTGTACAGAGTGGTTATTTGAGTCACCGCAGTCTCCTCTGACTTTCTCTCATCACCGAGACCCGCAGAACTGGATGTGTTCCGTTTTTCGCACCATCCCGTGTAAACTCTAGAGACTGCCGTGTGTGGAAAAGTCCCGCGAGATCAGAAACAACAAACAGAGTCACTGAGATCACTGAGATTTTTTTTCCCCCTTTCTGATGTTTGATGTAAACATGAACTTTATTTTTTTTTTTTTTTGCACTTCCGACACGTGATTGGCCGACTGGACGACTGCATGAATGAGCTCTCTTTAGGTAGAGATGAATGATGATAAATCTTTCAGGTTTGAGTTTTCCTTTAAACTTCGGAAGGGGGCGGGGTTAGCGTTTTCTGGATGTGAAATCCAGCACAGCAGGTGTAGTGATCTAATTACTGCTGTTTTTCTTAAAGCGAGTGAAATCACCGTGCTGTCATGTTGCTGCGTGCCTGGTGCAGCTTGAAGCAATCTGGTGTACAATTGCAAAAGGTCAAGAGGATCCTCTTGAAGATGGTGCAGCACTGCAATCCGTCACCGTTGTGGTGCGAACGCTTGCGCCGAGAACATTATGGGGGGGAAAAAATAACTCCGGACGCTTTGTGTGAGCCTGCACGGGTGAAAATCTCCTTTTTTTTGCAAGCGACATCCAAAAAGTGTTGTTCTTCACCACTTGAAGAGTGTTGATAAGGAACATAAAAAAAAAAAAAACGGTTCACACTAGTCATTTGTGTTGCTTGTAGTTTGCCTCGTGGGCGTTTCACAGCTGGTACTGTTGTCGCATGTGGGCGTGGCCTGTAAAGCGTATTTTATTTCCACTGAGAAACGGTAATAGCTGTATATCACTTCTAGTTAAACACAAGTTAGCTTCCGTGATTTACGCGTTACGCGCTTGGCTTCGTTCTCAGATTAGATTATCAAATCAAGCTAGCTGGCCTAGCTACGTGGTCTCACCAGACGCACCAACGATCTCCTGCTACGTCCTTCCAAGCTTCATTTTTCTTCATAATGTCTCTATACTTTTTAATTTAGTGGCAATATAAGATCAAATCAAGTTTCATTTTTGTGGAACTAACTGCGGGTAAGAACTAAAGTTGCTAAAGTAAGAGCCGTTGGACGCCGCAGGATTCTCAGAGGAATCTTTCGAGGCAAATGTTTGTCGCTTCTTTAGAGTGTCGTAACTAATTTGCACAGAATTGAGAACTTCTCTGTTCAGATGTCGCTGAAATCGTGGCTTCGTGCTGCGTTTGTACGTAGGAAATGTACGCTCAACAGTCGCTTGGTTGTTAAGTGTGAAGCTAGGGTTAGCCGTAGCATTGACGCCTTTGTGGTTAGTTTTGCGTTGACTTTATCTGGGCGAACTTTTGACTTGAGAATTCGAAAACCTTGTTTTTGTGAGCTAATTGCGATTAAAAAAAAGCACAAAGTTTCAATATGCGTTGAAGTCGACACACACTCGGGTTTTTGTGTCTGTTTTTTTTTTTTTTTTTTCTCTCTGTGCTACGATTTTCTTGCTAGCAGTGTTATCAGCTCTGCGTGTTCTTTCTCCAAGCGAATAAAATCACACGTTCTGTCACTAAGATGCGCTCAAATCAGCCGAGAGTGAAATGGCAGCTCTGTCTAGGGCTTTCCTCCTTCTGGGGCTTTCCTTTACTCACTCCATCCATCAGCTCTCCTGTGACTGTAATCACATTTAAACCGTGCACGTGAGCTTTTAATTAAATCGCTTTTCATTAGACTGAACTCGGACATGCCTCCACTCACACACACACAGAAAGAACGAAAGAAAGAACGAAAGAAAGAAAGAAGAGGAGGGGAAAAAGAAAAAAATCAGGAACAAAGAAAAAGAAAGGGTGCAAAAGAAAGAAAGAAAGAAGGAGAGGGGGAAAGAAAGAAAGTCTGGAAGAAAAAGAAAGTCAGGAAGGAAGGAAGGAAGAAAGAAAGAAAAAAGAAAGAAAGAAAAATGTTGATAAATGCTAAGTGACCAAGTGCGTTCACAACACAGCTGATTTACATTTGGCCACACCCACAAAACTCCATAAAAGGTAAAAACCTTGGTATAGGTAAAAAAAAAAAAAGGATGGAGTCGAGACAGAAAAGAGGCAGACAGACAGATTTTGATACACAGATCCACAGCTAAAAAGTGTGTGTGTGTGTGTGTGTGTGTGTGTGTGAGCGTGAGCGAGAGAGAGAGACTGGATGTTATACTTGTCATTTAGAAGAGTGGGTGGTTCTACCCTGTTTAACCCTTCAGCCTTGTTGCTAGGCAACAGCTGACAGATTGCTGTGGAAATCTCTTGGAGTGGTTCTCTGGAAGAACGAGAGAGAGAGAGAGAGAGAGAGAGAGAGAGA